CGCACATCAAATGCAGGAAAGACTCGGGATCAAATAAATGCGTCGTAGCGGCGAACGCTTTCGAAACGCGACTCGTCAAAATACAGTCGTTGAACATTCCAGCAATGGGTTCCACTGCTGGATGAGAGCCTCCCCACGCCGTACAGGTCACGGGGATAATTGTTTGACCATACTTCACCACGCTGGTCTGTGCTGGTCCGTGAAGTTGGCGAGCACCCAAGGCGTGGGAGCACGTGGGTTGTGTAGCGGTGCTGCGGTGGTGATCACACTGCACCTCGAACCTCACCACCCGCGTTCGATTCCCGGCCATGGCTATAACGAACATCCTTAATATCTGAACTAAAATGGGAAAACAACCCCGATGCTGTAACAGTGCGAATTATTAAAGACCTCTAACACTCGTTATTTTTTCCGATAAATAGCCCCACAATCTGTTCGCTGAAACGAAACTCCAAGCGCCTGGAACGTTTCTGCATCATCACCGGCTCCTCGTCGCCGACCTAACGCAGTACTGCAACTGCACAAAAATGACAATTCCCTCTCCCCCTCCCCCCAGTTTTCAGTGGGAAAAGAGTGAAAATGATAAATGGTTTCGTTTACAACGCGGGGGCGGGAGAGAGAGGGAGAGGCGATTGTGGTCCGATGAGGGCTGCGGTAAAACTATCCCTGGGCGTAGAATATCTCCCCGCGAAATATTTCCGCTGTGGCGGTGATTGATTGATCGCGCAGATTGTTTGAGCGAGCGCCGCGCACGGTGTGGGTGGGGGGGGCTCCAATGTCTCTCAATGTCTCTCAATGTCTTTCAATGTCTCTCAATGTCTCTCCAAGTCCCTCAATGTCTCTCAATGTCTTTCAATGTCTCTCAATGTCTCTACAAGTCCCTCAATGTCTCTCAATGTCTCTCAACGTCTCTCAATGTCTCTCAATGTCTCTCCAAGTCCCTCAATGTCTCTCAATGTCTTTCAATGTCCCTCAATGTCTTTCCAAGTCCCTCAATGTCTCTCAATGTCTCTCAATGTCTCTCCAAGTCCCTCAATGTCTCTCAATGTCTCTCAACGTCTCTCCAATGTCTCTCAATGTCTCTCAATGCCTCTCCAAGTCCCTCAATGTCTCTCAATGTCCCTCAAAGTCTCTCCAATGTATCTCAATGTCTGTCAATGTCTCTACAAGTCCCTCAATGTCTCTCAATGTCTTTCAATGTCTCTCAATGTCTCTCCAAGTCCCTCAATGTCTCTCCAAGTCCCTGAATGTCTCTCCAAGTCCCTCAATGTCTCTCCAAGTCCCTCAATGTCTCTCAATGTCTTTCAATGTCTCTCAATGTCTCTCCAAGTCCCCTCAATGTCTCCCCAAGTCCCTCAATGTCTGTCAATGTCTCTCAATGTCTCTCAATGTCTCTCCAAGTCCCTCAATGTCTCTCAATGTCTCTCAACGTCTCTCCAATGTCTCTCAATGTCTCTCAACGTCTCTCCAAGTACCTCAATGTCTCTCAATGTCCCTCAAAGTCTCTCCAATGTCTCTCAATGTCTGTCAATGTCTCTACAAGTCCCTCAATGTCTCTCCAAGTCCCTCAATGTCTCTCAATGTCTCCCAATGTCTCTTCAAGTCCCTCAATGTCTCTCAATGTCTCTCAACGTCTCTCTAATGTCTCTAAATGTCTCTCAATGTCTCTACATGTCCCTCAATGTCTCTACAAGTCCCTCAATGTATCTCAATGTCTCTCAATGTCTCTCAACGTCTCTCCAATGTCTCTCAATGTCTCTCAATGTCTCTCCAATGTCTCTCAATGTCTCTCCAAGTCCCTCAATGTCTCTCCAATGTCTCTCCAATGTCTCTCAATGTCTCTCCAATGTCTTTCAATGTATCTCCAATGTCTTTCAATGTCTCTCAATGTCTCTCCAATGTGTCTCAATGTCTCTCCAATGTATTTCAATGTCTCTCAATGTCTATACAAGTCCCACAATGTCTCTCCAAGAACCCTCAATGTCTCTCAATGTCTCTCAATGTCTCTCAACGTCTCTCCAATGTCTCTCAATGTCTCTCCAAGTCCCTCAATGTCTCTCAATTTCTCTCCAATGTCTCTCAATGTCTCTCCAATGTCTCTCAATGTCTCTCCAATGTCTCTCAATGTCTCTCCAAGTCCCTCAATGTCTCTCAATGTCTCTCAACGTCTCTTCAATGTCTCTCCAAGTCTCTCAATGTCTCTCAATGTCTCTCAATGTCTTTCAATGTCTCTCAATGTCTCTACAAGTCCCTCAATGTCTCTCCAAGTCCCTCAATGTCTCTCAATGTCTCTCAATGTCTCTCCAAGTCCCTCAATGTCTCTCAATATCTCTCAACGTCTCTCCAATGTCTCTCAATGTCTCTCAATGTCTCTCCAAGTCCCTCAATGTATCTCAATGTCCCTCAACGTCTCTCCAATGTCTCTCAATGTCTGTCAATGTCTCTACAAGTCCCTCAATGTCTCTCAATGTCTCTACAAGTCCCTCAATGTCTCTCCAAGTCCCTCAATGTCTCTCCAATGTATCTTAACGTCTCTCCAATGTCTCTCAATGTCTCTCCAAGTCCCTCAATGTCTCTCCAATGTCTCTCCAATGTCTCTCAATGTCTCTTCAATGTCTCTCAATGTCTCTCCAATGTCTTTCAATGTCTCTCAATGTCTCTCCAAGAACCCTCAATGTCTCTCAATGTCTCTCAATGTCTCTCAACGTCTCTCCAATGTCTCTCCAAGTCCCTCAATGTCTCTCAATTTCTCTCCAATGTCTCTCAATGTCTCTCCAATGTCTCTCAATGTCTCTCCAATCTCTCTCAATGTCTCTCCAAGTCCCTCAATGTATCTCAATGTCTCTCAACGTCTCTCCAATGTCTCTCCAAGTCTCTCAATGTCTCTCAATGTCTCTCAATGTCTTTCAATGTCTCTCAATGTCTCTACAAGTCCCTCAATGTCTCTCCAAGTCCCTCAATGTCTCTCAATGTCTCTCAATGTCTCTCCAAGTCCCTCAATGTCTCTCAATATCTCTCAACGTCTCTCCAATGTCTCTCAATGTCTCTCAATGTCTCTCCAAGTCCCTCAATGTATCTCAATGTCCCTCAACGTCTCTCCAATGTCTCTCAATGTCTGTCAATGTCTCTACAAGTCCCTCAATGTCTCTCAATGTCTCTACAAGTCCCTCAATGTCTCTCCAAGTCCCTCAATGTCTCTCCAATGTATCTTAACGTCTCTCCAATGTCTCTCAATGTCTCTCCAAGTCCCTCAATGTCTCTCCAATGTCTCTCCAATGTCTCTGAATGTCTCTTCAATGTCTCTCAATGTCTCTCCAATGTCTTTCAATGTCTCTCAATGTCTCTCCAAGTCCCTCAATGTCTCTCCAATGTCTCTCCAATGTCTTTCAATGTCTCTCCAATGTCTCTCAATGTCTCTCCAATGTCTCTCAATGTTTCTCAATGTCTCTCCAAGTAAATCAATGTCTCTCCAAGTCTCTCAATGTCTCTCAATGTCTCTCCAATATCTCTCAATGTCTTTCAATGTCTCTCCAATGTCTCTCCAATGTCTCTCCAATGTCTGTCAATGTCTCTCAATGTCTCTCAATGTCTCTTAATGTCTCTCCAATGTCTCTCCAATGTCTCTCAATGTCTGCCCGAGCCCCAACACGCTGGAGCTCTTTGCATCGTGATGAGAGCGGCGCGAGCCATGCGTTGTCTTTCCGACGCGTGCGCTTACTCTTTGAGGATAACCAAACGTCGCAATGTTCCGTCCCTCGTGCAACAATAAACAAAAAGGCCGCGTTGCGTTTGATCTGCGAAATAAGAAAGTTTAGTTGGAAACGCCACTTCACTTGCCCTCGAGAGAGAGAAAGGGATATAGAGAGAGGGAGAGGCAGGGAGCAGACGTCGCTGCCTTTGTTCAGTCGCTGGGACCACCACGGCTCGTCGTGGTGGTTATTGTTGGTGTTGTTTTTTTATGTCGTTGTTGATGTTGTTGTTGATGTTGTTGATGTTGTTGCTGGTGTTGTTGTTGATGTTGTTGCTGATGTTGTTGATGTTCTTGTTGCTGATGTTGTTGCTGATGTTATTGATGATGTTATTGATGTTGTTGCTGATATAGTTGTTCATGTTCTTAATGTTGTTGTTATTGATGCTGGGCCCCGGTTGCTCGGTCCAAGGCTGTGGCGCATTTAATGCTTCTCGCTCTCTCCTCTGTTTGCCTGCCACGACCCCCCCCCCCCCAACACCATCATTCCCCTGCTATGCGAATTGAGTTTGTTTTATTCATTTTGGAAAGCGTTGCGAGATGCAATTAGATTTACACGCCATATAAATTGATATCGTCGTCTTCGTTGTTGTTATTGTTAAGACGGCTTGTGCATAGCCTGTAGCTCGGTGTGTGCGTTCACGATGGATTCATTGCTTATTTTGTCTGAACGTGCCCCTGTCATGTTCAATATGCTTGTCCCGCACGGCGTCTTGAGATGCTTCGAGTATTTTGACACCGACGAACAACTTCTGATGCCACTGATTCGGGGGACACCTCTCTCACTCCGTTTTGGAGACTCTGGCGAGCGGGCGATAACCCGACGAGGTGACGCCGATTTCACCGAACACGTGGGGCTAGCGGCCGAACCACATGATTACTCACGTTGTCTTACTTGTCCAGGAAGGCCACGCTGAATAGCAGGACTCTTTTTCAGGAGGCTCCTGCGTTGGGTTTTGATTTGTAAGATGTTTTGCAGCCAACTAATGATTAGTTTATTTTTTATCGTACTCGTGGGAGGAAACCGGAGAAAAGTCACGCTTTGTGCGAGCGGGCAATGCTCTATCCCCGCACAGATGAAAACGGATGGCGACTAGTCCACTTTGTGTATCACCTTCTCCTGGGTATGGCACCTCCTCGACGCCAACGGGAAAGGAGTTTCACCAAAAAAAAAACAGTGCTGGTCACAGGCAGCCACGTGCGGCATAGCCACCACCACCGCCCGCCTTCACAGAATGCGTTGTGCCACCAGGTACAAACGCCAGAGCAGAAGAAGAAGCAGGAGGAGAAGAAGAAGAAGGAGGTTGAGGAGGAGGAGGAGGAGGAAGGGGAGGAGAAGATTGCGGAGGACCAGGGCGACCAGGTGTGTGGTGCGGTGTTGACTTTGCTCGTGGGGGTTCACGTCGACAGTATTCGTCGACAAAAGTTGTTCGATTCGATTTCGGCCACCGATGACCGACGACGGTCGAGGGTGGCCTGGAAATCGCGGAGGGCGATGATGACGGCACCCCGAGACCGACGATGACGACGCGTGGCCCTCAGCTGGGTACGGCACCACCACCATTCCCTAATGTTACCGCGATGACTGTAGCGCACTGAGGAATACATTTATTTATTTTGAGATTCACTGAGGTCTTCTGATCCACCAGTCTTGTATGATATTGAAAGTCAACACTTTTATCAATAACACCGTGGCCTTAAAATACGAAAAAAGTATGTTGCAAACGGCGTTTTGAGCAATCTCCCTTTTTCAGAGCACAGAGAGTGGTCAGAGAGGTAGAGTGACATTGAGTTGGGGGGGGGGGGGGCACGTGCACACCCCGCACACCCACACTGAATGATTCGGAACGTTTGACTGACGTCTGACTGACGCCTGACTGCTTTAGTTGTCCAACACTAAGCTGGGAATGACTCCATGCAGCCCACAGACTGAGTGAGACTCGGCCACGGCTGCCGTCTCCCGGATTTACACTTTGGCTCGATTAGTAAACAGCTGACTACGTGAAGTCGCACGCACGCGTGTGTAGCGGTTAGCGCTACGCTGCGCTATGAACCTGGCGACCCGGGTTCAATTCCCGCTCACGGCCAACACCAGTGACGATTATTTAAACCGGTCCCGGGCCTCCCCTAGGTCGACTCAGCCTCAAATGAGTACCTGGTGCGGTGTGTAAACATTGCCACTAGGGAGACAAAGGCGGTCGGGCGTGGTGCTGGCCACCCACCCCCTCGTGTACCGTTCCGGGCTTCATAGGTGCTCGCTAACAGCACTTGCCCTTACAGTCTGTTAAGGCTATATGGGAGATCTTTGATCTTTGCTTTGTTTTTTGTGTTGGGGTCAGGGTGTCGTGCAGACCTCGGACCCTCTCTTTGAGTTCATGGCGTGCGTCAGCGGCCTGGAGGAGCCGTCGCCGGCCAGGGACATTGCGCCTCGCGTGTGGAGGAACGTCTTCCCCGCTTCGCCCCCGCAACAGCCGCGGAGACGAGCGCAATCGCCCTCCGGCCAACGCGAGCGGGGGCCCAGCCGCGAGAACGTCGGCAACAAGCTCACGCGACCACAGCGGCACAGTGAGTGGCGCCGCCACGTGCGTTGATCAACGGCTGCTGCATCTGCAAGTCGTCACAGCCGGCTGACCCGTAGCACCTGGGTCTGTCCCGTGACCCCCGGCCAGCGAGACGTCACCTGAGAGCTTGAACGCTGGTGGGAGACGTCCCTGGCACTTGTTGGTAAACTGCGGCTCTTGCGACTGACAATAGGTTCTGGCTCACATCACTTCACCAAAGAGTTGCTATGATCATCAGGAGGATCTTTGTCGTTGTACACGTGGATTCGGCAGCGGTGGCGCAGTAGCTAGCATCAGTGGCGAGTGACATACGTATGAGCCGGTCCCGCGCCTTCCTCAAGTTGAATAAGTACCTGGTGCAGTGTGTAAACCTCCCAATGGCATCGCCCCTGCTGTGTTGATGGACGATGCGACGTATGTGTGTGTGGGGTGCCGCTGGGTGATGTACCGGGTCACGTGATGTGCTGGGATGACAGGTGAGGTGCCGGTCTATGCAGGAGGGAACGAGCCCGGCGCTGACACCACGTGCCCCGGACTGGAGCATAGCCCGGAGATTCTGAGGGGGTCTCTCCAATCAGCCCCCCCTGAAGCCCACAAGGTGACCACCTACTACCACTCCTCCCCCCCCCCCCTATGTAGCCGTTTAGAATGTCGTGGTGGTAAGCGCTGCTTGTGAGCGCCGAGTAAGGCCGGCAAAGCACACGATGGGGTGGAGAGGCGAGGCATCACACAAGGCCGTCTTTGTCTTTCCAGTGCTGATGATGCTTTTGCACCGCACCGAGTACTGATCCATGGCTGAGTCGGACGAGGAGAGGCTCAGAAGAGATTCGGATGGCTATTCACGACAGGCAATCGAAATTGGGGTCACTGAGTTTGTAATGAAATGTACCGACGATTAAGCCACCACTACCTCACCATCTCTCCCTCGCCATCATCATCATCAGCTACTCTCTATCCACTGCTGGATTAAGACCCCCCATGATGTTGCCACTCCTCACGGTCCATTGCTGCTACCAAAAATCCATCCATCATGCACAGGAACTGATTGCATTTCTCCGTCTCTGCCGTGGCCATCCTTTCTCCACGCGGCGCCCCTCGCTACATTTGAACGCAGATTTGGAACGCGTTGGTGCGTGCGGGACATTTTCGAAAATGCAATGCAAGACGGCAATGGCAGTTCTGTGAAAACATTGTGATCTTACACAAATCCTATGCAGCGTAAATTACGTGAATATAAGAAAGGTAATAGCCTTCCGTTAACAATCCAGAAATTGCCCTTTTCTCCCTTTGTGCGAAAATCATTACCATAATGTTACATCTCTGATTTAAATCGGCGCTTTCATTTCAAAAAGCGAAAAGCCTACCGTGGTATTGCCCCTGCGATTACTTCACAAATTGGCCGAACAAAAAAACAATTCCACCCCGTTACGTTTAATGAATGTGATTATAACGTGAAGTTGCTCTCACGTGGAGGCAGGAGACGGGGCCGTGACTAATTGGAGGCGCCACTCATTATTCCGGACACGGTTAACGAGAGTGGCGGCGGCTGGGGGGAGGGGGCTGTGGCTGTGTCAAATCCGTGTCGCCAGCCACCAAACGCGGTGATGCTGTAAAGGTTGAGATGGGGCCAACCCGTGGCACGGTGCATCGCCGCCCCGGTTCTGTAACGAGCGCTGTCACTTTGAAGGGGCGGGGGGGGGGGGGGGGCGGGAGGAAGGGGGGGAGGCCTTTGCGTATGAGCGCTAACGCGCCACCACGCCGCGTGCTGGCGACGGCATTGATCTCGGCGAAGCGGGCGGGCGTTGAGAGGGCGGCTCCGTAATCGTCGGGGCCTCGGCCACCACCGCCAAAACAGCTGCCTCAAAACGCCGCAATCTTCTTGCGGGAGAGACAGAGCGCGAGCGAACGAGAAAAGTGCCCCTGTCAATTTCTTGTTTTTGTTTCAGTTCTCTCTCCCGTCACTCGGCTCTCGGGGAGGCGGGAGGGATGAGAAATTGCCGTCATCTCTGGAGTGGGAGTGCGAGCGAGCATGTGTGCGCAGTTGTGTGCGTGCGTGCGTCCGAAGTGTTTGTTTGTCTCTTCTCCACGGTGCACCAGTGGTGCCACACTGGGTTTAATTTATACACAGAAAATGTTCCGAGTCTGGAGTAGGCGCTAGACTGGAGCACGTGATATCCGACAAAAGAGCCACAGTCGTAGCAAGAGTAGAGGAATACAGGATGCCGTGTGGCGAAGTGTAGGGATACTCGCTGGCGTAGACAGACCAGGCTGGAATGAAACCGCGGTACGAGAGGACGCGTCGTGTGCCGTGAAACGCAGAGAGGCACGGGGCTGGCAGCCCAAACGATACCGGCAGGAGATGTCATGGCAAGGAGATGTCATCTTCTGTGACGCACGAGGTTGTGGGTTCGACACCTGACCTTGAAGAAACCTGTTGTGTATTTGGCGTCTGCGTGTTCTCTCTATCCCCGTGGTGGTCGCGTGGATTTTTTTCTCCATGTCCTCCGATTTCGCCTTCCATGATTATAAACAACACGCGTTTAGATAATTATTGGCTGCTTATATAAATTCCCAAGTGTGATGATATCAGCTATCGTACGGGGCCAGGTCGCCTCTAAAAAAAGAGCTAATAGCTTAGTGAGATTTACCTGGTAACATAGAAGAGTTTAGCACTCAGAGAAGCGAGGCCTATTATGGCTTCCTGGAACACTTCAGATTCGAAGCCAAATATTTAATTTGGATTTAATATATGAGCATTTAATCCAAACCTACGAGAAGTTATTTAGACGAAGCCCTTTCAAAGGCTCTGTCCATGGTGCTGAATCGACTGCGCGATAAACACACGCCACGAGGCGTTAGGGACTGCAACAAACGCGCAAGAGACAGTCCCAGCCTGCGTTTGATGTCAAGATGACAGCCATTGGCTCCTCTTAGCTAACAGTGGGGCCTCTTCATTCAATGCAGCAGCAGCAACAGTAACACAGTAAGCCAATTGCATAACGGTGTCATCATCCTCATTGGAATTCATCAGCATGTCTAATTTCCAAATGCTGCTATATGTGCACAAAGCTATTGTCGGGGACCGTGTGCAGAATATACGAAAGTAAATTTCGGTGTCAACTTGACATTGAAAGTAGACTGGGACTTTACCGTAGTACACAGTCTGCTATATAAACCACTATTGAGTGCATTGTTAGCCGTATTATTATTATCCGTACTGTTCCTGCCTGCACAGGGTAGCTGCAATTTGTCGCGGGGACACAAATCACGATCGTGGGGGCGATGGGAGGCGACGCAGTTCCATCGTGAACGACACGGTTGGGGAGGGGGTCAGTGGGGGAGGGGCAGCAAGAGAGGGGAGACTCGCACGAGGATTCACTCGAGAGCTGGAAGAGTCACGCGGCAGCTTCACCCTCACGAGCGGGCAGGGCAACGCATCGTCTTGAACGAATGGAGGAAACAAAATGCGGGTGACGAGGAGGAGGCCCAGAGAGTCGTTGACGTTGCCCCGGCTGTCACAGAGGCTCGTCATTGTTATTATTTGTATTGTCGTTGTTGTCGTGGTTGTTGTCGTGGTTGTTGTGGTGGTTTTTGGTGTTGTTGGTGTCGTGGTTGTTGTTGGTGCTGGGCCCCGGTTGCGTTTGGAGTCCGCTACTGGACTGGAGCGACTCAGGAGAGCGAGCGAGGGGTGGAAGAAAATGTGTCGGAAGCCTTTCCCCAGCAGTGGGAAGTTGCTGGCTGACAACATCAACAACAACAAACAACTCTGTCATGTTTCCCTTGCCCCTGGCCCCCGTTCTACCCTGAAATGTCGGTTTTATTTACTGTAACGCTTCTGTAATTGCCGTTACTTTTCGGCACTTTCCAAATTGGTGTTGTTTGTCGTTCGCCGGTCATTGATTTGTTCATATTGAGCAGAGTCCTTGCCGTAAATAAATAATGGGTGGTGGACACGGAATGTCTTTCGAGGGCTCTCCCTCTCTCTCGAGTGCCATCGTGCAGGGATTCTGCTCGAAATGACCGGGTCACGACGAGAGAGCCACGGACCCCCGCAGTGGATGAGAGCGCACGCCACAGGGGATGGAGGAGGGGGGTGGAGAGATGATTCACGAAGAGTGGCTCCGGCGGGACGTTCATATCTCAGGGACGTCAGCCAAGAGGGTCCTCGAGGCCACATTACTCACGGGAGCCCAGGGGGAGTGATGGAGTCGCGGTGGGTGGGGGGGGGGACAGGTGCGAGAACGGCGCAGGTGCCACAACCTCGGAGAGATGGATTCGAGATGGATTCGAGATGGATTCTAGATGGATTCGAGATGGATTCGAGATGAATCCGCGATCTGGAGTGAGAGAGAGAGAAAGTCCGCAAATGAGAACCGCGGGAAGGTGATTAACGCGTGGGCGATCAAACACCGCGGTGATTGAGGGCGTCTCTTCACGCTGACGCCGCTGTGGATGAATGCGCGCTCACAGCCGCATGCCCCTGCCTGACGTTTTAATCAGCAACGAGGAGACCCGTATTTCCCGCGTCTCCTCGTCGTAATTTTTTTATTTTTTTCCTTTCACAAAGCGGAACGCGTGAGATTCACGCCGATCCTTTCATAACGTCACATGTGTAGACTGCATCTAGATATCTGTAATAATAATAACAACAAGAATTCAAATGTATTATGCGCATTCTATCCGAGGATCCCAATGCACAACGCATGAAAAGCAGACAACAAAAACAGAACCAGGGGGCAACCGACCAAAGTAAAGAGGGAAGGCCACTTTAAAGAGATTGGGTTTCATAGCAGACTTTAATAATACTACCAACCCCGATTTTCCTGATTTCAAGTGGCAAGGCGTTCCATAGCTTGGGTGCCACGTCCGCATCACCAACAGAGCGCAACCCAGACCTGGGAGTGCTGAGCAGTTGGAGATCAGACCATCATAAGGACCTTGATGGACTATATACATTTACTGTAGTCTGCAGTGATGTATCTATGTTGAACTTCTTTCGCGCCGTACGTAGTCAACCGTGCCAATCGGACGGGCGGGACAAGGACGACAAACTGATGAGTATGCGGGCTGTAGTGATGGCACCGCAGGGTCATCGTGTTGGAATTGCTGCAGCCTGCTGTGATGGCTGTAATAATAGTGAGGTACGGGCGCAGCCCTGAAAGTGCCACTGATGGCAGAAGCGCCTCCACTCGAGACAGCTCTCGGGCGCCACTCCTCTCGGGCGTATTTCAGGTTAATTGGACTCGTCTTGCTCGCTGACCAGACGTCTTGCAACACGTGGGGGTAGCCACACTTTACCCCACCACACTGCCGATCGACTGAGTGGTTGTCGGTTACCCGTGAACGCTGCTGGGTTCACAGAGGCTGGTGGGAGGTGGTAATGAACTTGCCCCATTGTTGCACCTGCCGCTCATGCCATTGAATGAGAAGGTTTGGCTGCGTGGTCGGAATGGTCGTGGTGGTGGTGGTGTTGATGCGTTCACAAGTGAATTCAACCGAAGTGATTTGCATTGTCAAACGCTTATGAAGATCCTGTTATAAATAACAGCCTGGATATGAATTATCATATCGACGCTGTCATTTCGATTTGTGTCCTGACAGTTTAATCATTGATCGCTGATGATGATATATCATAATCAGCGATCATATTTTTTGCCTCATTGTTCATCCACTGGTGGATTAAGGCATCCCCATATTCATTGTCGGTCTTAAGGGTGTGTTTGACCATACTTCACCGTAATGGTCAGTCCGGTTTGTTGAAGGTGTTAGGGGCTGGGGAGGAGGGTGGGGGCGGGGGGTGGGGTACGGGGGGGGGGCAGAGGCGCCCAGCCCCAGTCCAGACATCACTCGATTAGAATATTGGGCATGACTGGGATTCAATCTCGGGTTTATTGGGTTCATAGTGCAGTGGTGCCGACAAGGACCCCAAGCCCCCCGTCGCCTGTAGGATGAGTACGCGTGCGTGACAATGACGCGCGGTGCCGCCCTTTGTCCACGGCTGGATCGGATGTTTAAGACGCGCTAAACGTGCAGTGTCCTCAACGCGTGACATCTTCAAATTGTTTCTTTGACTTCACGATGCCAATGTTTGTGTTTTCATTCCATGACCTCTCATGGGGCGGCACCGTGCATCCGGGTGGCTGCGAAGATGCAGCAGCAGCAGCAGCCACAACAGCAGCGTCACCACAAGCAGGGGAAGCAGCAACAGAAACAGCAAGAGAAGCACGACCAGAAGCATGGGCGTCTGCACGAGCAGCAGCAGCTACAGGAGAAGCAGCGAAAGCAGCAGAACCAGCAGCAGCAGCTACAGGAGAAGCAGCAGAAACAGAAGCATGAGCATCTGCACAATCCGGAATTGCAGAAGCATGAACAGCAGCATCTTGAGCAGCAGCAGCTAAAGCATAAACAGCAGCAGCAGAAGCATGAACAGCAGCAGCAGCATGAGCAGCAGCAGCAGAAGCATGAGGAGCTGAAGCATGAGCAGCTAAAACATGAGCAGCAGAAACTAAAGAAGCAGCAGAAGCATGAGCAGCTGAAGCAGCAGCAGCTGAAGCAGCTGAAGCATGAGCAGCAGCAGCAGAAGCATGAGGAGCTGAAGCATGAGGAGCTGAAGCATGAGGAGCAGAAGCCTGAGGAGCAGCTGAAGCAGCAGCAGCATGAGCAGCAGCAGCAGAAGCATGAGGAGCTGACGCATGAGGAGCTGAAGCTTGAGCAGCAGAAGCATGAGGAGCAGAAGTTGAAGCTTGAGCAGCAGAAGCATGAGGAGCAGCAAAAGCATGAGGAGCAGAAGCATGAGGAGCTGAAGCATGAGAAGCTGAAGCTTGAGCAGCAGAAGCCTGAGGAGCAGCTGAAGCAGGACCGTGGCAACCGCCCTCCAGAGCCAAGCGCTGGCTACAGGTGACTCGCTCAGTTCGGCGCAATCGCTCTCCGCCGTCCACTAGGAACGCGTCTCGAGGTGGAGGCACACGGCCGGTCAGGGCGTGCGCCTGCCACGCACACACGCGCCCACACGTGCAGGCAAAGACAAAGATCCCCCGTACATGAGAATAGGTTTTTCCCCTTTCTCTGCCAACAAAACAGGTTGTGTTAAGATGTTAATACACCAAAATGAAACATTTTACAATGAATCATGTCTGCATTAACCACAATACTTGTGGTCAGAATGAAAACAAAAAAAACACTGATAATATGATGCATTGTCTTCGACGCTGGTTGGTTCACACCAGAGACAGCTTTCTTTGGAGCCGAGTCTCAAATGGTGTTAGACGAGAGGACAGCCTACGGACTATTGGCGCCAGTGCTGTTAGCGAGCAGCACCGATGAAGGCCGGCACGGCACACGAAGGGGTGGCATCGCCAACATCATGCCCAGCTGCCTTTGCCTTCCGAGTGCTGATCTGATTACACACTCCACTCAATCATACAGCCGTCTAGCCCTCTCTCACTCTCTCCGTTTCTCATACATGCACACATACCTCCCCTCCCCCTAACACAAAGTTCCCCCGTATAGCCTTAACAGACTGTTGGGGCAAGTGTTGTTAGCGCGCATCTATTAAGACCGGTACGGCACACGAGGGGGTGGGTGGCCAACACCATGCCGAAACCGCCGTTGTCTCCCCAGTGGGGATGTTTACGCACCTAGAAGAGGCCCAGGACCGGTTCAGATAATCGTCACTGATGTTGGCCGTGAGCGGGAATCGAACTCGTGTCGCCAGATTCGTAGCGCAGCGTAGCGCTAACCGCTACACTACCGCTCCCCATAAGCGAAGTGCACGCACACACACACTGGTGGTGGAGGGGGGGGGGTGTGGCACGGTGCGCACTGAGCCTAGACGGAGCTGTCCAAATATTTCAGCACCGCGTAGTGCAGATCGCGACCCTTATTTTCTTTAAGCAGGTGGCCAGGTGATTGACAAAAACAAAACTCAGCTGATTTCCGGCTCATGGTATTTAAAAACGGTCAGTTTCACTGCGCACTGTACATCTACTAGGGTTGGAAAAATAAGTTCCACTTTCTGGGAAGTCGTCAACGGTTGTCCCATAAACTCGCCGCCATAGAAATGTGGAATTTACACCACCGCCTGAGGGCCACTGATTGAGATGGGGACTGCTCAGTGTTCATCAGAGCAGCGAGTCGTTTGGCTTTTTTCTGAGCAATTTTGGGAATTTTGATTGTTACTGCCATCACACAACGCTCTCTCGTCTTGCCGGAGCGTCTTGCATGTTTCTCGAGGAGTGTCTGCAGGCAAGAGCTGTACGGACGAGCGGTGCGAGGGGCCGTGAGGCTGCCTGCACGCCCGAGCCGCGCACGGACGTCGTCTGTACATTCGGGCGAAACTCTGTGCCAGTTGCAAATCGTGATGTTTCCATTATTTATTTATATTATTAATACCCCTCATTACAGCAGATGGTTGCACTTTGTTCATTTCCTGCAGTAATTAGGTGGCTCCCAGAATCAAATCATCAATTGCTTGCAATGCCGAGCTCTCCTGGCGAGCAGATCCCACCTGCGGACTTCCCCGCCACCTGTTCACCCACAACTCGTGGTAACATTTCTACAAAACAGGAGCTGGGTGGCTCCGGAGATCGAGCACCAAGCCGCCACGAACGGAGAACCTGGGTTCACATTCAAACCTCAACTGGCCTGCGGTTAAATGGGTTCAAATTCAAACCGCAACTGGCCTGCGGTTAAATGGGTTCAAATTCGAACCTCAACTGGCCTGCGGTTAAATGGGTTAAAATTCAAACCTCAACTGGCCTGCGGTTAAATGGGTTCAAATTCAAACCTCAACTGGCCTGCGGTTAAATGGGTTCAAATTCAAACCTCAACTGGCCTGCGGTTAAATGGGTTCAAATTCGAACTTCAACTGGCCTGCGGTTAAATGGGTTCAAATTCAAACCTCAACTGGCCTGCGGTTAAATGGGTTCAAATTCAAACCTCAACTGGCCTGCGGTTAAATGGGTTCAAATTCAAACCTCAACTGGCCTGCGGTTAAATGGGTTCAAATTCAAACCTCAACTGGCCTGCGGTTAAATGGGTTAAAATTCAAACCTCAACTGGCCTGCGGTTAAATGGGTTCAAATTCGAACCTCAACTGGCCTGCGGTTAAATGGGTTCAAATTCGAATTTCAACTGGCCTGTGATTAAATGGGTTCAAATTCGAACTTCAACTGGCCTGCGGTTAAATGGGTTCGTGAGCTGGTGGGTGTAGATTTTTTGAGAGTCTTCCGCTCGCTAACGTGGGGGGGGGGGGGGGGGGGGGGGGTTCCCCCGGCACTCCAGTTTCCTCTCGTACAAAGGGGCGCACCATCAAACAGGAGTTGTTGTCCTTCCCCAGCACTTCCAAATAGCACGTTTGGCTACGTACGGTGCGAAATAAGTTCAACATGCATACATACAAACAAAATGTGCCAAACACACTAATGTAGCAGAGCTCTCCCGAATCAGAGAATGGAGACGCAGTGAGGCGCTCCCGGATAAACTAACCATAGGGAGGTGACGGCCTCAGGCTGGCCACCATTAACACCATCGCATTCAATTTGGTTTCCGAATTTAATTTGGAAAAATGTCAGCTCCCGAGAACGAATGCATTCGGTTTTACTGTAACGCAATGAGCGGCAGGGTGCGTGTGAATGTGAAGTGCCTCTAGCGTGGACGTTCGTCCATAACGCTGTGGCCTTTAATAAAAATATACAATCGGCGACGTTTCGGACACTGGCCCTTATTCATAGCAACCCTACGCCACAGTCCGTTCCCGACGACTGCTGTGCTTCTGCTTCCTGGCATTATCCCCACTCCTGTCCTCAGCCACCATCCCCACGTCCACTCGACTATCCTTCACATACCGGTTCACCTCTTCACATCACCTCTTCTTAGCCCTGCGTCTGGCGCTCCCACGTCCACCCCCTTCTTTATCCCGTGCGGATTTCCTCTCTTCTCCTTTGTGACGCATCACCCTTGCCACATGAGTCGACTTTCATTCAGTTCGCCTGAGATGGGCACCAGCGCTCCGACTGTCTTCCTCGTTTCTTCAGTTCTCATCCGATGCAGTCTTGCGCATCCCAGAGATCCGTCTGATCATCATCATCATCATCTTCATTTTCTACGGTGCACAACCTCTGCTCCTACGTGGGATTTAAGAGTCCGTCGTTCAGACCCGCATGTCGATACCACTCTGCGACAGTTCCGTATAGATTCGTCTTCTCCCGACAGCGCGGTTAGTGGAAGAGAAGTGGCAATAAAATACAAAGGGATCGGCGTGCGGCGCGTGGCAAGGAAGCTGAGCGTCCCGCTGATGTGCGACCCCCCCCCTCCCCTACCCTCCCTTAGGATGGTGGAGGCGTCACGCAGAGCGCGGTGGGGGGCAACTGGCATGGGAGCTGCAACCTACCCGCTGTGACCACCTCCTCCTGCCACCTCCTCCTCCCACCTCCTCCTTCCACCTCCTCCTCCCACCTCTTCCCACCTTCTCCAACCTCAACCTCCCACTACCTTCTCCCACCTCTTCCCATCTCCACCTCCTACCACCTCCTCCCACCTCCTCCTACCACCTCTCGACCACCAAGGAAATTCAAATGCAGGGCAGTGGCGCGGAGGAGCCGCCTCAATTGGCGCTCATCCGCGGCAGGGGCGTGAGGTGGCGCGGGGAACGAGCGGCGTCCCGAAGAGGGAACGAGGAGGGGAGAAGTCGCCCACCGCTCGTGATGCCGCTGAGGGCGAGCATCTGTTGGTGAACGCGCTTGTGTACGCACACGTGTGCGTGTGTGTACGTACACGTGTGTGTGCTTGTGTACGCACACGTGTGTGTGTGTGTGTGCGTATACGCACACATTTTTGGGTGTGTTCAGTCTAAATAGACAAAGATCCCCCTTATAGCCGCAATAGACTGTGTGGGGCAAGTGCTGTTAGCGAGTAACACCAATGAGGCCGGAAAAACACACGAAGGGATGGGTGGCTAGTATCATGCCCGGCCGCCTTTGTCTTCTGAGTGGCGATGTTTACAAACCCCACGAGGCACTCATTTGAGGCCGAGTCTACCTATGGGAGGCCAAGGACAGGTTCAGATAATCGTCACCGGTGTTGGTGGCCGTGAGCGGGAATGGAAACTCGAATCACCGAGTTTATAGCGCAGAGCGCTAACCACTGCACCACCGCTCCCCCACCACCGGGGAGCGGTGGTGTCGCGGTTAATGGGAGTGTTTGTCTTTGTCAGTCTGAAAAAAATAAATTCCTCGTGTGTTTACTGCGAATGCCATGGGCACGGTTGTGTCAAACCCGATAGACTGGGCTTCCGCTCTCTGCAGGGAAATTGCTGTAGCAGAGTGCGGTGTTGTGTTGTGGTGTTCAACAAGAGTGATTGATTTGTTTTTTTATTTTAACGTCACTTGATTTCCGCGCACGAGGAGTCGCCGTTGTGATTCGCTTCGTAGCGCGCGCCCTTCCCGAACAACCGCCCTCGTTTTTTCGCGAGAACAGCAACAACAAAAAACAACCCCGCGCCAGTGGCGGAATTCACGGTCGCCACGCCTGAAGCAAAACTTCGTGCCAAACGAGCGAGGGACCGCCGCTTTGCGTCTCTTTCTGCTCTCCGGTGTCGTCGCGGGCGTGGGCCCGCACCTTGCGCTGCGTCGTCACGCAGCGGTGGGGTGATGATGGGGAACGCCGCGATAAATCAAGGCGCGCGTCACCTTCGCGATGGGAAAAGAAAGTGCCCCCCCACGCTGTGATGGTGTCGTGGTGCGAGATGGGATTGGGTTGAGGCCAAAAGCCATTGCCTCCACACCCCCGACTCCCCGCACTCCCTGTGACCCCCCCCCCCGCCGCCCCCTACTCAACCTCCTCAGTGTGGGCGCCATACGACCGCATCATATTTTACACGCACAACCTGTACCTCATTACCGCCGCTCGATTTCTCTCTCTCTGGACCTTCCGCGCTCCTAGCGGGAGGCAGGAGGGGGGGGGGAGCACTGTTTCTTGCCAGGGCCCTAATCTGGAACCCTGAGGCTCCGTCCCATCCATTCCCATCCAGCGCAGCTGAGTCCAGCGGCCTCGTCCTCAATGCCACGCTGGTGGCGCCCTCCATCTCCCACCGATGACTTTCCATTCGCGGCCACCGTGCCCGTGTGGATGGGTTCGCGTCTTGAACAAATTCTAACAACCAGACTGTTGGGTAGTTTGAATGATCGCTGAGCTGGCCTTGATGCTCAATGCCTCGTCATCATCATCATCGACGATGATCAGACTACCAATTGTATGAAGGCCTCCCAATGCCGTGAGGGTTGTTTGACCTACTGTTCAGGGCGCTGTCAGTGAAGAAGTATGGACTCAGGATGGATTCATAAATCACTCGCCAATGAAGTTAGCCGTCACCGGGAATCCAACTCAGGTGGCCGGGCTCATAGTGCAATGTACGAGCCATGGCGCCTCCACTCTACCTTCCGTCCTACCCCCAGAAGTTGAGACGCGAGGGTCTGGGCTCGCGTGCACCACACGCAGACTGAGCTTGAAACTCCAATCTCGCCCTGCTGCATGGTGGCCGGTATGTGGCAGCACAGCAAACAGGTTCGTGAACTCAGCTGTAACTATCGTTGAGTGTTTATTTGCGTTAGATCCCCGCGGGGTTTCTCCCGAACGCAGAAACACGCCCAGAACCACAGCATTGGCCAAACATCCACGTGAGACGGAGTCCTGAGATTCGGCGAGCCTTTCCTGGATCAACAAACAACATTATTAGTTATCATTACAAATAAATGTCTTTTTATTATCACAAATGGCTTTTAAAATTTATTTGTCCACGGTTTGTTGTTGGGGGCCACATACATTGTACAGAGATATCAAAATACAGCAGGATGCGTACATCACACGTGTACGTACGGCTCGGGCGACTGTGGAGACCGCACAACGGGGGGTGGCGGCAGAGGGCGTGGGGCGAGAAGGGGGGGGGGCGAGACAAATGTGGGACGATGGCCACCAACCTCGACAGAACACAGACGGGACTCGCGATGCAACGTGTCGCCTCCATCATCCCATCACTATCGTAGCGGCAGTGTTGAAGTACACACACACAGAGGGCTTAATTCATCACTGGGTGTTTGCCAGGTTGATGTTCGACTGGAATAGGCGGCACACGACTTTAGTAGCCACAGCCCTGGTGAGAGAGGCATACTGGATGCGGTGTGTCGTGTGTGGAAATATTTTAGGGGGTCGCTGAGCCGGACAGACCCGGGTGAAATTAAGCCCTCGGTGCAGCCTCGAGACACACGCTCCCACTTGGAGGCTCACACCGCCCGAGAGCCGCAAGACCACTCCACTGAAGACCTTTAAAAGACAACGCCACATCCCGTCCGCTTGTGACACCCGCACCGCCGCCGCGTTCCTTCCACCTGTGTAACACGCGGGAAAGTCCCGGACGGACGACGATCGAGATGAGAAACTCAGTGGGCCAGATTCACGTTTTGACGATACGGCGCTGCGACGCATCGCGTTGTCAATGTGCGCCCTCGTAGGCGACAGAGATAGAGTTGCTTGTTTTTTTTTCAATTGATATAATAATGATGATGATCATCATTCACAGCCCTCTGTCAATCCACTGCTGGATGAAGGCCTCACCACGCTGTGTCACTCGTGGCCGTGGTCAGAGCGTACTTCACCACGCTGATCAGTGTGGGTTGATAAAGGGCGGCGCTGCGACATTCCGGGACCGGTTCAGATATCATTCGCCACCGAACATTAGCTACGCCCGGGAATCGAACTCGGGTGACCGGCGTCGAAAGCACGGCGCGCTTAACCATCGCACCGCTAATCGGCCGTTCACGTCAACGTGAATCTGGCACTCGTGTGCGCGGTCATTTTGCCAATTGACGAGATCGAGCTGGGCGTTCAACAGCGCCGCCGGTGGCGTGGCTCATGTAAGTACCCGGAGGGTGGCGGCGTCAAAGAGACACGGACGTGTGGGGGGGAGTGCGAGTCTCACCACGCGTGCAGGTGATGAGCGCTACGCTTGGACAAGCAGCAGATGGTCAGCTCCGCAGTGTTTTCGGGTAGCGAGCAACAAAGGCTGGGTAGAATGACCCTGATCGAGATGCCGCATGTTGGCGATGCAGAACGTGAACTGTCGCTACGGTATTCATAGGAATGCAGCATTCTTGGGCGACAACGCATGCAGGCGGATTCGCTTAGTGCCTGGATTTATCTGGCAGTGTTCTCACAAAGATACCCATCGACTCACGTCGAGACCCACAGATCCACACAGAGACACACATAGTCACATGTAGACCCATAGACTTACATAGAGACCTTGAGACTCACAGAGACCCACTGAGCAACTGGAATAGCCTGGCAGTGGCTTCATCATCGGCGCTTTCTCCAGCAGAGGGGCGTTCGCAGCCCACTCAGCTTCCCAAGAAACATTTGCTGGGAGCCCAACACTGGTTTCATCACCACCACCATCCTCATGATACTATTTTCATGTTGAAATAATTAATTAATCAAATTGCGCGTGAGACTGGAAACAAAAAAAAAACCCGGAGTGGAATTTGTAAACCTCCTCAACGCGGAGCCATGAGTCGTCGCTGGGCAGGACGCACTGATCAGGTGACATGGACAATGGATGGCAAGGGGCACCAAGATCCCGTAGGGGGCATTCTGGATCCCATCGCCATCACCTTCCCAAATCGCGACGACACCGCTCTAAGGCCAACGTCTGGGCGTGGCCTTGGGGCGGGCCCTCAGCCAACCACCGCGAGACAGAGGGCGGGCGAGCATAAGCGGACGCGGCTCGTACGTCAACAGAAGCTGTCGGCAATACCAAAGGGCTTCTGATCAGGCATGCGGGACACGAGGGCATCATTTTGACACTGGGCTTAAATCGAGGCATTTGAGCTGTGCAGCTCAGAAATGGACACAATTTCAAATGGAAGAAAACAAATTCAAAGGAAAACCACAGTAGGTGCCGATCAATCAACGATGATTCTACTCTGCCGACGAGGACGCGCGGTTTATGTCGGGCACAAATCGCTCCGTGGGGCAGGAACGCGGGGTGCTTTTGTTTCCACGAGCCAGCCGTGCAGAGTGCGGCCCACCCTGCTGCGTGTGGCTGCAGACGTGAGATCGATGCGGATGCGATGCACATTTGGAGCGACCGTTGTCCGGTTTGTTTGACGGCAATAACCCGAGTCGCGACCGAGTCCTCACCAAAAAAAATGAACGACTGACGCATCTTCTGAGTTTGTCTCTTTCCCACTCAACGAGTTCTTAAATGGCCGTCGTGCAACTCCAGTTATAACGCAAATGAACCGGCGAACGCACGAACAAACGTCGAGAACGCGGCGCCGAGACGGCGGGGAGGTGGAAAAAACGACAGAGGCGGTGCGCACTACGATTATAAAACACATGCTGGAGCCACGGTCATCACGCGCTCCCCATTCTCCTCTCCGCTGTCGTAAAACCTTTCCACGAAACATTCCTAATTCCACTTAATGTACAGGTTCAATTAAAAAAAAACAGAAGCGACCGTCATGCTGGGGTTTCAACACAAACATCGTTACATTCAGATCACATTTTTTTGTTTAAACATTCAAGAGTTGCACGGAAGAGAAAAACAAGCGTTTCGTTTTAGCCATCTTCGACTTCTCGACAGCGATGGCGCACGACGCGCGTGCCGGAGGAGCGATTCGCAAATTCGCCGATCGGCATCGTTCCGCTTGGCGGAACTTGCTCGGGGGGAGGGGGTGGGTGGACGGGAGACACCAACGCACGGACGCACGCACGCACGGACAATCCACCAGACGGACACCGGGAAATTCTACATCGCCGTGCGCACGATGTCACCCGATCCCGCAGCCGCGGTAGGGCACGGCCACGAGCCCACGGCAGGCAGCTCCCCCTCTCCCCACCCCCTCTCTCTCTGCCCACCGTCCTAAATGCTGACCGAAGATCGCGTGACCTTGGTATTGAGCTAATATTCAGCTTGCATATTGGTTTTGTTTGGCCTCTATCTCTCCCACCTACCAAACTGGCACTTCTATTTCCCCTCCCACCTACCCACCTACCTGACTCTCTCTCTCATCCCCCAGAGAGTCCAATGCATTGAATTACAGGACAGTGTATTATTGATAAATCAATTGCTTGCCAAGAACATCTCACACAGTTTGTTCTGTGCACAATAAACATAAATTGCACCTAGCACATCTTCATAATTAATCACGGCTCGGCGGACCAGACGATTCGAACAAAACGTTACCTGCCTGCATGCCGCGTGTGCAGTGCGCGCGGCGTGTGCGTGCCTGTCTGGGCAGCGGTGGCGGTGAGGGAGGAGGGGGTAGGGAAGCCCGGTGTTTCCATCACTCGGGGTCCGCGAAACAGCGCACCGATTCGAAATCAATGCTGGCACAAGCAGCAGACGCTATCAACAGCCGCTCTGACTCAACACAGACAGTGAGTGGGACGTGAAACAAGAAAGCCACACCGATGGTTCTTCCTTTCTGCTTTCCACATTATTGAAAGTACTAACAGCGCTTCGTTTCCCACAGTAGTAGTTTCCAGGTCGCTGGTCGACGGGATGTAGCTGCACGTGACGAGACGTATCCCCAAGTCGCAGCGAGAGGGGTATACGTGATGTGGTGTGCCGGTTGCAGAAATATTTTCTGGCTCGCTGATCCAAAAAAGAGCCGGCTGAAATTAATAACTGATCATTATTACCGTATAATTATGATATATTACCGTGTAATTATGATATATTACCGTGTAATTATGACATTCCCATTGTAATGGTATCATCCCGAGGTGGCCAGGACCAGGGGATGTCTGCGCCCCGGGCTTTGTGTCCCACCTGAAAAGTGCTGCTATTAATAATCTGTAGCATGTTGTCAATCGACTACTGGATGAAGGATTCCCGACGTCTTGTTAGTCTAACCATACTTCACCACCACGGACGGCCCAGCGATGCTTAAAACATCGCGTGCCACCGATGTTAGCCGTGACCGCGAATCCAACCCGTTGGCACTAACCACTGCACCGCCACTCCGAACCGCACCAAACAAAAATTGCCAATCCAAACTGAGCACCATAGAATAGGAACGTGACAAATAATCAATTCATCGATTCAAATCAAGTACCACGCGCAAAGTAACGTGCATTACAATGATTTCCATGAGATGCAATTATTTACGATGTATGCAAACTGCATGCAAATAATATCCCCAGCTTACATGTTGGCTAATGGGGAGAACGTAACTGTTACAGAAACAGCAATGGGAACGAGACGGAAAACACGAGTCAAGCCACGGATCAAATTCCCGAATCTCCGATTCGTTAGAAACCTTCTCGAGACCCACTTCGCTGCCTCGCCACGGCGGGGGCGACGGGCGGTGAGCCGACTGACCGGCTGTTACTCACGAGGGCCCTTTGACTACCGCTCGAACCTTCCGGGGCCCACGAGGGGTCCAACCACGCATGGCTACCACTTCACTTCCCTGTCCTCCGCCACGCACTCTGACCCCGGGCTGTGAATGTCGCGCCTTCCGTCCTGGGCACACGGACCGCGCGGTCTCTGACAACGCGATTCTGAACGTCACTTCGGCCCACGTCCACCCCCCACTAAATGTGAACGGTGCACACTGCCAGTCACATGTGGGGCTTGTCTCGGGGCTATCGGTTATCCTGGGACAAGTTGTGCTCAGAAACGTGGCACGTGGGGGTAAACCCAGCGGATGGGCAGGATGCTGGTCGGTTTGTTTGATCATAGTTCGCAAACATTGCCCCTAAAATGAAGAAGCTATAATAGTTGATTTACAATTAACCTTAAAGGCCTTTGCCCGAAAGGTCGCCTATTACATGTTTCTATTCATTTCAGGGCAGAGTTGTTGACGAAAGTGTTGAATTTGTGTCGTGTCATTGTGCACCACTGACAACGCAGGACCGCAGCGCGCGCTGTGGACAGGGGGGCTCGCGGAAAACGCAGAATGATTTAGGTGCAAGCAACAGAGCTCGGCATGTGACGAGCGAGCGAGCGAGTGGGGTGGAGTGGACGCCGAGCAGCCTGATCGGCCTGTACCAGTCGGTGCGGGCATGAGCCACCAATTAATGGCGTAATCAGAGAGCTGGCTCGGTAGATGGGCGGGTGGCTGGATGAAACGATACACTTAAACACATTTTTATTTTTCAAGATGAGGTCCACTGAGCTACACAGCTCTTTTTCAGAAGCGACCTGGTCACAAATGATAGCTCAAGGAAGTGGCTTATCAAGTGGAAATTAAGTTATAGCAGCCAAATATTCTAAACGCACGTTTCCAAATGTGGAGAGAAGCACCTTAGGATCCCGGAGAAAAATCCACACGACTACGGGGAGAACATGCAAACTCCAAATATACAGGCGACAGGGTCGGGATGGAACCCACGACCTCCTGTATATTAAGCAGGGTAGTTAACATATTGCTACCATGGTGTCCATGCTGACTGGCTGGCTTACTTGGTAGCTGGGTGTCTGGTAAGATAGATGGATGATGTGTGGTTAGCTGGGTGATTGGGAGTGTCGAGGGAGACTGAAAGGCGTGCGAGCTGCGTGGGTTGATGGGTAGATTACTTGCTGACTGGAGAACGCAGTGAATGTGTGACTGACGGGCTGAGTCGGTGAGTGTCTGGCTGGTTGGTTGGAAGACTGGCAAGATAGGTGGCTGGACGATGAACTGGTTGTGTGATGGTGAGAGTGGTGGCTAACCGGCTGGCTGGGTGATTGGATAGGACCGGGGGCCAGGTGGTTGGCTTTGCTGAGATAGAGGGATAGGGATGTGTAGAGAAGAGCGGTTTGTGTTGTGGACAAAGTCCAATGTTTGAGCAGGGAAACGTTGTGGGACAATCCGTGCCATGTTACATCTTAGCGCACCCTCCACCCACATCCTGCTAGGATAATTTATGCAGCAATTGGCACAAGAGGGAGGGGGTACAGCATGAAGGCCAAACCTGCACGCTCATCGTCAGCCAGGGCCTATCCACTGCTGAATTAAAGCCTCACCCTTGTCAACATCCCTCATGATCTTGCTCCTACATATGAGCCGATCTCATAAGTCTGTCTCCGTGGTGGTCATCCTCTCGAACACATTATTTCCTTTGTCTGTCATTACATCACCAGTCTCGTCCACCAGTCACCATTGTGTCTTGCCACTGTACGTCCTGCCCACACGCTGAGTTTCTCTCCGTGTGGTATCCCTGATGTGCGTGTATTCCCTGATCCGCGTGGTGTTCCTCTCTGTGCCCCAATGTCATAATCACGGAGCAATGAGTTGTCCTGGAGGAGACACCGCAATGCTCCGCTCTCGCTGGCGTGCGTGACGCGAGTCTGCGGATGCATCGTCCCATAGCAGCAGCTGCAGTTCAACACGCGGTGATGACACGACAGCACTTGTGCCAGTCTAGGTGCACGTTGAGGCCACGTGGATGTGCAATAGTATACGTGCACACAACAACGCGTGCATGCGTTCTCTTTATTCACTGCTTCTGTTGGCCCCTTGTCAATCCACTGCTGGATGACGGACCTCCCCACGCCGGTCATGGGGGTTGTTTGACCATACTTCACCACGTCGTGCTGCATGCTATTACATACTAAAGATGAAAGCGGGGATGGGGGATTTGTTGAGGCGATGTCGACTTTACTGCTCTGGTTGGAGCACAGCCGGGAGGGGGATTGGGGGCTCAGGGTAACGGAGGGGAGTGGAGGGGGGGAAGAGAGGGAGTGGAGGGGGTGGAGTGGGGAGTAGAGGGGGGAGTGGAGGAGGGAGTTGAGGGGGGAGTGGAGGGGGGAAGGGAAAGAGGGAGTGGAGGAGGTGGAGTGGGGAGTAGAGGGGGGAGTGGAGGGGGGAAGGGAGGGAGTGGAGGGGGGAAGGGAAAGAGGGAGTGGAGAGGGTGGAGTGGAGGGAGTGAGTGGAGGGGGTGGAGTGGAGGGAGTGAGTAGAGGGGGGGGGGGAGTGGAGGGGGGAAGGGAAAGAGGGAGTGGAGGGGGGAAGGGAGGGATTGGAGGGGGTGGAGTGGAGGGGTGGAGTGGAAGGTGGGAGTGGAGGGAGGGAGTGGAGGGGGTGGAGTGGAAGGTGGGAGTGGAGGGGGGAAGGGAGGGAGTGGAGGGAGAGAGTGGAGGGGGTGGAGCGGGTGGGAACCGCACAGGACTCAGCAGCTGGGCCCCGCGTGCACCCGTCCGGCATAATTTCATCTGACTCGCAAATTAGCAGCCTGCGGTATCATCTCCGAGGAATGTAATGAGTTCTTTAAGTGATCTTGAGGTTGTAATGACGAAGCCCAGGTGGGGGCTCTCTGTGAGCGATCTCTCTCGTCTCGCTGTCAAGCGGCGGCGGCGGTGGCGGCGTAGCTGGCGAGCGCCGCGCCTGAATGCTTTCCCAGCGAGCCACTGACCAGCGATGGTGAAGTATGAACAACCCCCCCTCCATTATAACATACTCACCTAAAGCCATCAGCTCATAATCCTCCAGCCATGGCATCAAGGAGCAGACACCGCCAAGAAACGACGACGTCTAATTCTCCTTCGTCCTCCTGATCATTGCGCCGCTATCCCTGTGGTGCAGGAGCGTGCCCCGTTCGTCGTGACTCTCCAGAGGCGTCTGTGAAGTCTGTCGCCAATGGGGTACACAACCGTCCTGCTGTTGTAATTGTACTGCCCCTGAACTCTTCGGCAGCGCGAGCGGCCGTGCAGATGCACACGAGTGTAGCTGGCCATTGAAATCGTGTAATTTTAATTACACATGATATTGTCTTACATTCTATACCGCCATCTCTTTAGCTACTGCACACACACACGAATGGACGTGTCTGCGAATTCTGGTTTCTCCCCCACAAGACAACGAAACGCTCCTCACGAAACATCCAAATGGGAGCAAGACCCTCTTTTGAAGAGTATTGAGTTTCCTTGTGGCTTTGTCGACTAAATGAGAAAATATTATCATTCAGCGCTACTTGTGTGACAACGGGTGTCAACACCAGCACCACCTACAGCACCCTCTTACCACCCACCCTGCCACTGTCCCCCTTTCTACAACCAACTCCCCATCTTCTCTCCGCAGTACGGATACGCACGCTTTGACACCAAACTCTCGAGTCGAGAGGCACGTTCCGGCAGAACTCCCGGCCGTGTCCCAGCCGGCCCCCTCCCTCGCCGCGGGGAAGCCGCCGCCAGCAGCACGCGGCGCTTCGCAGCGACCACGACGCTGGCGCTGGGCGACGCGGGAGCGATGATGACGACGACGACGACGATGACGACGATGATGATGACGACACTGGGCGGACTGCAATCGAAACACCGACGAGAGTTCCACGTGCACAACGTCGCCACAAGACACGGAGGGGTTCCAGACGCAGACCGCGGCCTAACGCCCGGACGGAACACGGCGTGGGGGGGTGCCAATGAATGAAACATGACGCACGATTTATTTATCTTTCCCAGGATCGGGGGGGGCGGAGGGGAGAAAAAATAAATACAGAATACTCAACGTCATATTATTTAGCTCATTCATGCGGTAAACACTAAACTTCTCGCTGGACAGGTGTACAAATTATATACACGTATTTATATTATACCATTTTTCTCTTTATCTTGACCCTCGGTGGACTTTGTAGTTTACAGAATATTGCTTTAAGTGGCAAAGCAATGCTCCCTCTTGCGACGGGAGGCCCGCCCGCCCGTCACCCTGCTTACCGTTGTTACTAAGTGTAAGTGACCGGCTGTCTGACCTGACTGGGTTAGCCATCTGCCTGCCTCGCTGGGCTAACAGACGAAGCCATTCGGGGATGGCTGTGGAAGTTTGGGATGAAGCGTCAATGGGTCTCGGCGCGGGAGCATCCGTCTGTCCAGCAGCTGTGACCGGATCAATAAATAAATCGAGAGTAAATCGATTGGTTCTCGAGTCTGGCGCCAGATGAGACGGCCGCCGCCGCGTGCTCTCGCGACACTTCAGGGTTCGGAGTTCAGAGCCACAGGAAGAAACGCGTTCGTCATTGACCGCATGAGAGGAGGCGGTCGTCGGCTGAAGTCTGCTGCTCACCCTGATCAGCAGCAGCAGCAGCGATGAAATCCGTGAGCAGCAGCAGCAGCGATGCATTCGGGGTCAGAATCAGTGGCGTAGCTACTGGGAAGAGGGAGGGGGGCGCAAGGAAGGCTACGAAGAAGGGGCTAGCAACGCTGGGCGGCGCGAGTCCCATTTAATTCCTTGCACCGGGGCCCATGCCGACCGCGTCACGCCACTGATCACCGCATCGTCAGCCCTTGGATCGGAGCCCCGTGCCTTCAGCCGCGCTGAACCGCCGATGCGACGGAGCCAACAGTGGCGCGGGGAAAGATCGTCGCGTCGACGCCGCCTGTGCGCGGCCGTCACGGCACGCACGGCGGTCCCGGCGCGGCCAGCAGAGCGGCGGTGGAGGCAGCCGAGGCAGGGAGTTGACGAGCTGCTCGTGGGTTTCAGGAGACCCCGGCCGTTGAAGCTGACTGTGGGCCGGTGGTACCACTGGGCTGGAACGGAGGCACGGGAGGGGAGAGAGCGAGCGAGCGACATTTACTGGAATGAACAGAGATTAGTTTATCAGAGAATATTTACCAGGCTGCTGATAAGACTGGAGTCGGTGGGCCCGTGACTGGTAGCCACAGCCCGTAGCGAGAGAGATGATGGATGTGGTTTGCTGGGTGTGTAAATACTTTCCGGGTGGCCTGCACAGAATTCCAAGCGATTTTGTAAACCCAAAAAAACGCGGCCCCTCGAGTTACGACGCGAGTGACAAATATAATTATAGCAATAACGATGAAAATAATTTGCACTAATTGAAATAAGACACATTACACAATAAATCCATAACAACACACGGCTGTAAATACTCGTGTCGAATCGATGCCACCAACATAAGCGAACAATAAACACTTTTACGACGCTTTTATTAACGCAGCGAATGCTTTTCGCTTTGATTGGATTCGCAAACTTCGCCCACATATCCACGGGCATGCCGTCCACACTCTCAGAGTTAATTGCAGCAACAACAAAAATACATCAATCACTGCCTTTAATCCCAACGTTGTTTTTGTTAACGCGTTGAAAGCTGAGCTGTCTATGAATGGAAGTGGGTGGGTGGGCGGGAAATATTGACGAACGTCAGATCGTCACACCAACCGAATTCTACATCAACTGCACAATCTATTCACAAACCAAAGAAACTTTCTTTACATTAAAGGGAGGCGCGGGGGAGGTGTTTGTTCATCGGCGGAAAAAGCCAGGAGGCCAATCCGGTTGGCACGCCACTCGCTGGCATTTTCCATTTCCCCGCCGACAAAGGATCAAAGAGGGACGCCTCCGCTTTGATGTGAATTGGGCACGGCAAGTGCGTGCGTGTGGCATCTGCGTGGGGAGATGACAGGGAGAGGGAACCGTTGCTGGTACAGAGGAGGCATCGGGCAAGCTGTGCCCCCCTTTGCTCGGTGCCCCCCTGAAAGGGGCCCTCTGACTAATGCCGTGGGGCGTTGCGCAAGGGAAGGTGGCGCGCGTGAAAAATGGGGCGAAGCAAAGCAAAGAGAAAGGCGCGTGCGTGCGTCCTTCAGCAACCGGCCTGGTTGGTCACGGATGGACGCGCACAAAACCTTTGATCAACTTTCTTGTTTTTCTCAAGCAACTTTTTTCCCACGTTTTTTCTTCTCTCTCTCTCACCACGCGGTCGCCAACTCTGTTGATCGATACTTCTTCTTCTTCTTTTGGTAATTTCAATTCGCTTTCATGTTCGTGCAATTCCAGCGTCGAGCATGGTATAAGTGCTTCGATGGACGACCACCGTGCACGGCGCAGGCGCTGTGGGCTGTCCGTGGAGACCCGCGACTTACGGGGTGAATCGCATTCAGGTGGGCAACGCCAGCCTGGCTGGCGTTTTAATAACGGTAAGCCCTGAAGCTCGGCTTCCCTTGCCCCCCCCGTAGGTGGGAATGAGTGTCTGTTTGGATCGAGAATAAATGGGGAATGAGAGGCTCTAGATCACCCGTGTGAAATGAGCAAGTTGAACAAAGATCCACGTGGAATGAACGCACGTGATGAGGAATGAATGACCCTGCGGCAAACATCATCGGTGCGCAAACATTCCTCCACGTGGAACAAACGTCGGTTCGCTATGAACGTACGTGTGCAATGAAGGTCTGCGTGGGAGCAGCATTCTCGTGGAACGTTCGATCGTAAGAACAAACGTTGGCGCGGAGCGAGCGTGCGCGTGCATCGAGCTTGTGCGGAACTCACCGTGGCCCCTGATCGCTCTCCGGGCCACGGCGACGCGGAGGGCAGGGGTGCACCCGACCCGGCCAGCCGCAAAAACCTCTTGACGTGACGCAGAGTGACGACGGAGTTTGGTGGGATCTAGAGGTGGTTCTTGAGTGGCGAAGGGAGGGCGAGGGAGAACAGGGGTTGTGGGCGCGCTGAGTGAGGGTGGAATGTCACTGTCAGATAGTCGTGCACATGGTAGTGGTGGTGGTGGGAGGGAGGGAAGGCGGCGGCGGCAGTTCGGGTTTATGGGAGGCATGGGGGAGAGGAGACGGAAGGAAGGAGCGGGGAGTTGCGGGTGGTGGGGAAGGGGGGCTTCTAGGCTGATGTCTGAGCACAGGGCATGACCGCATTGAGCGATCGGAAACCCAGGATATTCTTGCTAGAACACCAGGTCCCCCAGAGGCTCCCCTGGTCCGGGGGGGGGGAGCAGGGATGGAGCAGGCGGAAGCAAGGGAGGAGCAGGGGTCGGGATTAGCGGCAGAGGGCGGCAGGGGGAACACAGAAGCGACACAACACAAACACGCGCTCGTCGGCACCAGCAGTGGCTCCGCCGCTTGGCCGATTGCCTCGTCTGTCAGGAGGGAGAGTCACTCGTGTACCGTGCTCCCATAATCACTGCGATTGCCTGGTGGAGAGCGATCCATCCCGAAGGCTGAGCCAGAATGATCGCGCGCATGCACGCACGCACGCGCGTGCGTGTTGGCTGGCGAGACGTCCGTCGCTGTGATCCGCCCTCTCCCGTCTTAATGGACGTGGGGCTATTTTTATCGTTTGTTTTTTTTTATTTTACCTTTTGCGTTTCATGCGTGTAAGTAAAAAAAACATCAAGCCCTGTTGTCCTCAGCGGTTCTGCCGTTCCGCGCTGACACATGGGGACACGCGATGACACGTGGGGACACGCGGTGACACGCGGGGACAAGCGGTGACACACGAGGACACGTGGGTGACACGTGGGGACACACAGTGACACGCAGGGAAACACGCGGGGACACGCGATGACACTCGCCATGTCTGCCTGCCTGCACGGGCTAAGCATTCACTTGGCAGCCCCAGCGACCCTGGGTGGTGGTGTTGGTGACTCAATTTTATCTCTCGGTCGTGTTTCGCTTTCTCAGTCATCCTCCAATTGCTCCTATCGGGGTAACGTCACGGAACAAAAGCTATTTACATTGGGAGCACTCGCGTAAAGCGGGGTGACATCACCCTGTGTTCGACAAAAAAACGTCTTCCAGAAGATGACTGCACATAACTACTTTCTAAGATCCCGAGCATAGCTGAGTTGGCGGCTGTGCAGCCATGGATTGTTTAATATATCTGGGTGGAGCTTTGAGCGTTACTCGATGTGTGGCGGGTAATCTCCCGGTGCTCGAGTTGACTCCGACAGGCTTAAACGCTCACTGTGAGTGCCGGCCAAACATACCCGGTGCAGTACCCTCCTGAAATGGCTCAGCGACATTTTCCTTAGAACGATCACAAGTTGAGTAACCATTTAGAGCGCCAGAGCCTATGACCAATTCAGCTGGAGTTGCACTCAATCTTAGAAGCCGAGCAGGGTTTGGCCTGCTGAGTGCGGGCAGCTACACAGGTGACATCGGCCGCTGCAGGCGGGACGCAGTCAACAGCAACGTCAATTGCCGTGCCGCATTGCTATGCTGCCTGTACCGAGCCACGCTGACGAGCGTGGTCAATTGTACTCAATAACCACTCAAGAACGTACGGCGTCAAAGGAGTTCAACACACACACACACATACATCCAGCAGCAGATTCACCAGAAGGGCCGTGCACGCTGAACGCGCTAGAGCGCAGGGCAGGGCCACGCATTGCACTGATCCCGAGTCGTGCGCGTCACCTCACGAGCGGAGCTGCGATCTCCGCTCATTTGGGTAACCGATGACTCTGCCGAGCATAAGTTCCATTGCCAACACGGACATGAGTGGAGACAAAAAAAACGTCCCACCTCTGCTGCCGTGTGTGCCCCTGGACGGGAGGTGACGGCGATAATGCGCATGCAATGACGTCATGGATATCATCAGGTGCGTCCTATAGGAGGTTTCCTACCGTCGGGGAGGCAGGATTTGCTTTGAGCTATCGACTGTACAATAAAAAAGGAGTCGATTATAATTCCCCGTCGGTAAACGACGCCACCGACTGATCGTGCCAGCCGTCGTCACAATCCGTCGTCACGAGTCGTCGTCACGAGTCGTCGTCACGAGTCGTCGTCACGTGTCGTCGTCACAATCCGTCGTCACGAGTCGTCGTTACGAGTCGTCATCACGAGCCGTCGTCACGTGTCGTCGTCGCGTGTCGTCGTCACGAGTCGTCGTCACGAGTCGTCGTCACGAGCCGTCGTCACGAGCCGTCGTCGCGTGTCGTCGTCACGAGCCGTCGTCACGAGTCGTCGTCACGAGCCGTCGTCACGAGTCGTCATCACGAGCCGTCGTCACGTATCGTCGTCACGAGCCGACGTCACGAGTCGTCGTCACGAGTCGTCGTCACGTGTCGTCGTCACGTGTCGTCGTTACAAGCCGTCGTCACGTGTCGTCGTCGCGTGTCGTCGTCACGAGTCGTCGTCACGTGTCGTCGTCGCGTGTCGTCGTCACGAGTCGCCGTCACGTGTCGTCGTCACGTGTCGTCGTTACAAGCCGTCGTCACGTGTCGTCGTCACGTGTCGTCGTTACAAGCCGTCGTCACATGTCGTCGTCATGTGTCGTCACGAGCCGTCGTCACGTGTCGTCGTCACGAGCCGTCGTTATGAGACGTCCTCCCCCCGCGGCACCCCCGAACGTCTCCTAACCCCCATGAGGCCGACGGGGCGGGCACCCCGCACGCCGGAGTGTGGCCCACGAGGGCCCTGCCGCGTAACGTCGTACAATCATCGCCGCCAAGCTGCTGCCGCGCTCGCGAGCGCGTGCGGGGAGGGGGGGGGGGGGTCGCGTTCTCCGGTGTCGGGGAACGATTAACGCCGCCCGCGCTCGACACGTGATTGATGGGCTCCAGCCTCCTCGCGTCGCAGCTCGCGGATTGAGTGTCGTGGCGCTTCGCCCGGGAGAGACGATACCCTGCGAGGCGGGTGCCGAGTGGTGGTTGTGCGTTGGGGTTTAGCGAGTGCCTGGGTTAGGCGTGGCAAGGCACTGTGTTGGGGTAGGGTCAGGCACGGGGGTTTAAGGCACTGTGGGTGCTGTAAACCCCCAAATCTCCATTACAGTTTCGGCCGCTACTGAGTGGCAGGCGACATCTGAACCCTCCTCTGCTCAACCTGCACTGGCTCGTGTGGAGAAATATGCAAGTGGGATGAAGCCACGCCCATGATTGATGTATCTGGGGTGATGGCGAGGGGGTCAGGGGGCGGGGTCCTTCATCCGCAGTGGATTGACAAACACCGCCCCCCGCCCATGCTTTCCCCACCAACATTCGAGTCCTCAGCCACCACCGATTGCTTTGAGCTTATGCCAAGTCAGCAGCCCGTCGGAGAGTCGCTCCTTTTCTGCGGCACTGCATCACATCCAGAACAGACGGGGGGCGGGGGAGAGGTTGTGGGGGGGGGGGTGGAGGGTGGGGGCGGTGGGGAGGGGGAGCTCTTGCCTCTGCCAGGAGGTGCCAGTGAGCGATGGGCTTGCGCGGGTACGCCAGCATCTCGTTCCAGTGATCGCGGCCCATCCCCTCCGCCTCTCCGCCCACCCAGCACACGCCGATCACCTCGTTGTGGCCCACCCTGCGGAACGAGACGTGGGGATGGGGAACGCGCGGTTAGCCCCTCGGTTGGCATCACGACCGCCCGGGTGGTTGGTGAGAGAAAGGGGCGCAGAGGTCACAGGGGTTAGACAGATTTAACCGCGAGTTGAGGTGGAATTCTACCGCCAGGGGTTGCGCAGTTGTGCGTGGCGCTCTCCGATGTTGCTCGGCGCGTTTTTTTCTCCACGTGCTGCGAGCTCCATCGAGAATGAGCGACTCCCCACTGAGTGAAGGGGGGCTGCTGAGTGGCTTCGACATTGCCTTGGTCGTCGGAGCGGAGATTTGCGTAAAGCGGAGAGGAGCGAGATGAGAGGAGCGAGGTAGGAGAGTGCACGGACGGGGATCCGGGTGAAATGAGAGGGGAGAGGTAAGGCTGGGAGCGACTCCATGCGAGCTCGTGCACGGCGAATGTGATCGTGATGTCGATCTGGAACATGATTGGGAAGCAGTGAAGGGAGCTGAGTATCGGGGCTATGTGGTCGCTGGGCGCATGTGCGGGCGAAGAGACGGCGGAGGAGAATGAGCCTCATGGCTCGGCTGCTCCTTTTATTTCGAAAAGGGGGAGATGTGGGGGGCAGGGAAGGGGGCCTTTGTGTGGGTGGCGGGGGGTGGGGGGGTTCAGGAGATGAAGAAGCAAGCTGGCTGTGCGACCGGCACGGGTGCCAGGAGGAGGAGACACCGGGTCAATGACATCGACCGGTAATTACCGGCATGGCTGCCCGGCCCGCTCTCAATTACTCAGCACCGTCACTCCAGAAAAATATGTGTGATTGATTACCATTAATTGAGATTGGTCAAAATACAATTACAATTCCATGCTGCCCGGCATGAGAGCGTCCATTAATAGCCGCACGTTCGCTGCTGCTTACGAAACTACAAGGTCATTAATTGCGCCGCATTAATGATACTGTACAACGGTGGCGATATGTTAACTCCCTCGCCGGGTATACAGGAGTGTGTGGGTTCGATTCCGACCCTAACGCTGGAGTTTACATGTCCACATGATAATCCCCTTCGTTGAGCTATCATTTGTGTGAAAAAGAGCTATATAGCTCAGTGGGCATTACCTGGTAAAATAATAATAATAAAAAATAGTTAATGGTTATCTTCTTTGGTTCTTTCGGTAAAGTCACATAGAATGAGAATAAAATAATAAAATAAAACAATAAAGAAGGCCACTTGTGTTGTGGCCGACGTTTCGGCCACAACTACATTGTAGCTGTCGTCCCGACAGGTTTGTTCCTTTCACCTGAAGCTCTGTCGTCCCGACAGGTTTGTTCCTTTCACCTGAAGAAGGCCACTTGTGTTGTGGCCGAAACGTCGTGAGAATTTTATTGTTTTATTTTATTATTTTATTCTCATTCTACGTGACTTTACCGAAAGAACCAAAGAAGATGAATCCTTGCAGACACGAAAGCTTTAAATCCAAAGTTAATGGTTAGTTACGTCTACATAGCCCACGTGCGTTTGCGTTGGTTCATGAGCGCAAATACAAAGGCGTCTCACGTCAAAGCGGACGGCATCAGAGAGCAGGAGCGATGGCTCAGCGGGGAGGACTGAACACCCACACAGGCGGCACGCGAGGGGAACGGACGCCCACATCTAATATTTGAATTCTCAGAGGTGAATTTTCGCAAAATTAATTGAGGAATCAAAGTAATTGTGGTGGGATTTTTGCGTGATGTCATCAGTGACTGGGCTGAGACCATCAACTCCCTACCAGTTTAATCTATGTGAGTCCACGGGTCTCTGTGTGAGCCTCCAGGTCTCAATGTGGGTATACGGGTCTCCATGTGCTTCTACGGGTCTCTACGTGGGTCTACGGGTCTCAACGTGGGTCTAGGGTCTCTGTGTGAGTCTATGGGTCTCTATGTGAGTCTGTAAGTGTAATCGCTGTGGTGGTTGGAGCTGAAACCCGGACTGGATCCCAGGACCTCAGCGGTGCTGGCTCAGCGTCTCTGACCGCCGAGTCACTTGGCCAACACGAGTCGTTGGACACAGCCACCCAAGGCAGGGTGGGGGAGCTGGGGAGTGGGTGGGCATCACGGGTACCCACCGGTCGTAGTCGACGACGGCGATGATGAGGTTGACCTGGTCCATGTTCTCGGGCGGGATGTCGAACACGATCTCCTCGTTGTAGACGGGGTTGAGGGTGTTGCGCTTGGTCGACGTCTTCCGCTTCTTGAGACGCCGGCCCGAGCACATGAGTGACACCTTCACGTAGGGGTCTGGGGGGGGGGGGCACACGGGCGAGGGGTCGCGAGGACGCGGGCACGCAGGGAGACAGGCAAGTGAGAACATACAATCACGTGGAGATACGAGCATATGAGACGTGGGAGAACAAGAACAGAAGAGCATGTAGAGTGGTTGTGAGTGAGTCTACGAGCCTCCTGTGTGAGTCCGTGTATCTCTCTGTAAAACCAGGGACTTAATTTCTCACTGACAGACTGCGGTCACGTGACTGACGTGTCTCCCTGTAAGTTTGTTGGCTCTCTAAATAACGGTATTCATCGTTCTGTAAATGTATGAGTTTCTATGTACTGTAAGTGAATGTAAGTCTACGGGTCTGTATGTAAGTCTACGGGTCTCTATGTAAGTGGTTGGATCGCTCTGCCTCACACGTGCGTTCGTGCCCCCAGTCCGCCCCAACCCCAAAGCCATGAGATCCCCAAACGACTCCGAAAAACGGGGGATTTTAATCTGCCCCACCTCCCACGGAATGATTGACACGGCCCTTCGCTCAGCTGCTCGCGACTATAAATCGTAACGACCGCAGTGCTGGCGAGCGGCAGCTGCTCGCTCAAAACGTTCATCTGACCCGCGTGAGACCCGGCAGATGAACGGAAAAAATACCTGATTTTATCTTACATATATATGTGTTATGCGTTAATAAATAAATACAATCGTTTCTAAATTGTCAAAATGTGTAATTTATGTATCTACACTACGTTAAATATGTACGGGCATAATCTATTCCCCGGAGTTTAACCGTGCAGTCATCTGTTAAATTAACTTATGTTTTTCGCGAACCAGATCCAGCCTCACTCGCCCAATCAAATTTTTTTTTTACCGCTCCCGTAATTCCCCCCCCCCCCCCCTGCCTCCAGCGGTGTGCCGCGAGCGTGCACGAGCGTTGTGGGGGCTGCTCAGGTGTCGTTGACGAGAGATGGGCTGATGTGGTACACAAGGAGTCTGGAGCTGAGTGGACTTGCCGATGACCGGTGCCAGCGGTGTCAAGCTCGGCCTATGTGGAGGATGCTCGTGGAGGACGCTGCTACTGGGCAATTTATAGGCAGTCGTCCTCCTACAGCAACGGAGGACAGAGGAGCGACGCTCACAACAACGAGCGGAGCGTCAGGTGGATAAAACTCAGAAAGTTGGCACAGTGGGGGGCACACGTGGTGTGTCTGTCAGTCATCTCAGTCAGTCAACCCATGGCATCTGGGTCTGTCCCATGACCTCCTGCCGACGAGCCTTTGACACTTCGCGTGGCCTCAAAGTGATGAGAGTGTGATAAGAGTGTGATGAGAGTGTGATGAGAGTGTGATGAGAGTGTGATGAGAGTGTGATGAGAGTGTGCATCACCTGAGGCCCCCGTGATGTCCATGGCCTTCAGGTTGCGAGCCTTGATGACGGTGAGCGTGAGTCTCCCGGCCGTGGGGAGGTAGCACAGTGAGAACATCAACTCCCCGAGGTCCACCTTCTCCTGCACCACACCACGCCGGTAAGTCAGCATAACCAGCCACACCACGTGACAACAGTACTCTAGCTCACCACCACACAGTGCCACACTACACCGTGCCGCAACACACCGTGCCCCACCACCACACCGTGCCCCACCACCACACCGTGCCCCACCACCACACCGTGCCACACCACCACACCGTGCCCCACCACCACACCGTGCCACACCACCACACCGTGCCCCACCACCACACCGTGCCCCACCACCACACCGTGCCACACCACCACACCGTGCCCCACCACCACACCGTGCCGCACCACCACACCGTGCCGCACCACCACACCGTGCCACACCACCACACCGTGCCACACCACCACACCGTGCCGCACCACCACACCGTGCCCCACCACCACACCGTGCCACACCACCACACCGTGCCGCACCACCACACCGTGCCCCACCACCACACCGTGCCACACCACCACACCGTGCCCCACCACCACACCGTGCCACACCACCACACCGTGCCACACCACCACACCGTGCCCCACCACCACACCGTGCCCCACCACCACACCGTGCCACACCACCACACCGTGCCACACCACCACACCGTGCCCCACCACCACACCGTGCCCCACCACCACACCGTGCCCCACCACCACACCGTGCCACACCACACCGTGCCCCACCACCGCACCTTGTCGCACCACACCGTGCCGCACCACCACACAACAACGCCGCCGCCACCACCACAGCAGTGTTAGCGCATCGCACCCATGCGGAGTTTAATTTGAGCCGGGTCTGTCTGTGGGTGGGTTACCCGGAAAAAAAAGTTTGTATTTCCGCTCCCGGCACACCACATCTAGTATGCCACTGTTATTGTTAAGCATCGTGACAGTTTCGAGATTTAGATACGCATGGGTGGACTCTCCGTGTGGATATTTAACGGTTCAGTTTGTATGTTTCTTGTTCTTAAAATAATAACCTGCAGAGATGATGACCGAACGAAATAAAATGAACGCAGGAAATGCCGGCACCCTCTCGCTGGCATCACGGCGGAGCGCCGCCGACACCGACAGTCAGCTGGCGATGTTCTGCTCCCTCGCCATCGAGACATCGGTGTTCACATCTCCCGTTAAGAGCCCTGAACCAGCGGTGAGAATCCACACTCCTAAAGAGCGGGCACGTCTATTCATAGGTCAACAACACTGTTGATCTACATCATTAGACCGCCTTTGCCAGTACCAATATGTAATAATAGGGGTTTTCCCCTTTTTTTTCTGGCAACAAAACTGAAACCTTTTTTTACAAGGATTCATGTCTGCATTAACCACAATACCTGCAGTCAAAATGCAAACAAAAAACATACTATGATAATATATTCATTGTCCTTGAAACTGATTGGTCCACACCAAATGGTCGACCATCTTGTCGAGCACCAATTGGGTCGAGGCTCAAAAGAAAGCCGTCCCTTGGTGTGGACCAATCAGTTTCAAGGACAATGCATATATTATCGTAGTATGTTTTTTTGTTTGCATTTTGACTGCAGGTATTGTGGTTAATGCAGACATGAATCCTTGTAAAAAGGTTTCAGTTTTGTTGCCAAAAAAAGGGGAAAACCCCTATTCTAACACTGTTGATCTTTCCCAAAGAGTGGTACTCGTTTTATCGATCGCCGGAAGGATAATGGACTGAGTCAACCCCCACAAGCGGCGATTTGAACTCGCGACCTTCCGATTTCCGCCGCCGTGACCCCTGCCGGGTTCGCCAGCGCCCGTGCCCCGAGCCGCACGCGCATTCCCGCGGGGCTGGCTGGAGCAGGAAATAACCGAATCGACCAACCTTCTTGGTTTGTCATTTATTATTCTTCTTCTTGTTGTTCTCATCCATCTATGTGCTGCTTGTCAATCCCGAAGCTCGCAATTCCCTTCCCCGATCGCGACTCTGCCACTTCGGCCGCAGTCAAAGAATGAGAAGGGGGGGGGCGAGCATCGTCGACTGAAACGTTGGACTTCGCTCTACCGCGACCGCCGATCGCTACCGCCAACGGCTGCTACCACCAGACTCGCCAGAATTATTGCCCCCTCCTCGTTGAGAGGGTAAACGTGGTACATGAACAAAGGGTGCGCCCCTCTGTTCGGAGTATTTATTTATGTATTTGCCCATTGCCATTTCGCGTAATTGAGTTCTCAGTGCAGGAGACGCGATCCCGACTCCCCTCGCGAGCCGAGGGCTCTCTCGCGCCTGCGAGCTGTTTACAGCGCGGGGGGAGACTTTGCCTTGTCAAATGATTTGGGGACATTCGTGTAATTTGTTTTTTCGTTTTAAAAAGCTTCTTCGAGTGAATAATAACAATAACTCGTCTTCGTGCTGTACACATCCTGCTGTGCAGAGGTCCGGAATGAAAAGGAATTTCATTGAATTCTCACTGGGTCAAGGACTCTCGGTCCTCAGTTCCGCCCCTCACTCCTCATTCCTCCCCTCCCACCCCTCACTCCTCACCCCTCACTCCTCACCCCTCACTCCTCACTCCTCACCCCTCACCCCTCACTCCTCACTCCTCACCCCTCACTCCTCACTCCTCACCCCTCACACCCTCACTCCCCATTCCCCACCCCTCACTCCTCACTCCTCACCCCTCAATCCTCACCCCTCACTCCTCACCCCTCACACCCTCACTCCCCATTCCCCACCCCTCACTTCTCACTCCTCACCCCTCAATCCTCACCCCTCGCTCCCCACCCCTCACCCCTCCCTCCCCACCCCCCCATTTCCCACCCCTCAGTGGCTCGTCCCTCCATGTTGGGGAGGCTATAAACTCCACCCCGGGTTTTTCAGTCTCCGATGACAACGCAAACAAGTGACCCATCGAGTAACTGCACGTCGCTGGCATAGACCTCACCATCAGCGCTGTCAAAAATAGAAGCCCAGACAATCACACACAGACCCCGAGTCACATAGAGAGCCGCAGCCTAGCATAGAGAGCCATAGACTCACACACAAACCCCGAGTCACATAGAGAGCCGCAGCCTAGCATAGAGAGCCACAGACTCACACAGAGACCCCGAGTCACATAGAGAGCCGCAGCCTAGCATAGAGAGCCACAGACTCACACAGAGACCCCGAGTCACATAGAGAGCCGGAGCCTAGCATAGAGAGCCATAGACTCACACAGAGACCCCGAGTCACATAGAGAGCCGCAGCCTAGCATAGAGAGCCATAGACTCACACAGAGACCCCGAGTCACATAGAGAGCCGCAGCCTAGCATAGAGAGCCATAGACTCACACAGAGACCCCGAGTCACATAGAGAGCCGCAGCCTAGCATAGAGAGCCACAGACTCACACAGAGACCCCGAGTCACATAGAGAGCCGCAGCCTAGCATAGAGAGCCATAGACTCACACAGAGACCCCGAGTCACATAGAGAGCCGCAGCCTAGCATAGAGAGCCATAGACTCACACAGAGACCCCGAGTCACGTAGAGAGCCGCAGCCTAGCATAGAGAGCCACAGACTCACACAGAGACCCCGAGTCACGTAGAGAGCCACAGCCTATCATAGAGAGCCATAGACTCACACAGAGACCCCGAGTCACATAGAGAGCCGCAGCCTAGCATAGAGAGCCATAGACTCACACACAAACCCCGAGTCACATAGAGAACCGCAGCCTAGCATAGAGAGCCATAGACTCACACAGAGACCCCGAGTCACATAGAGAGCCGCAGCCTAGCATAGAGAGCCACAGACTCACACAGAGACCCCGAGTCACATAGAGAGGCGCAGCCTAGCATAGAGAGTCATAGACTCACACAGAGACCCCGAGTCACATAGAGAGCCGCAGCCTAGCATAGAGAGCCACAGACTCACACACAAACCCCGAGTCACATAGAGAGCCGCAGCCTAGCATAGAGAGCCATAGACTCACACAGAGACCCCGAGTCACATAGAGAGCCGCAGCCTAGCAAAGAGAGCCACAGACTCACACAGAGACCCCGAGTCACGTAGGGAGCCGCAGCCTAGCATAGAGAGCCATAGACTCACACAGAGACCCCGAGTCACATAGAGAGCCGGAGCCTAGCATAGAGAGCCATAGACTCACACAGAGACCCTGAGTCACATAGAGAGCCGGAGCCTAGCATAGAGAGTCATAGACTCACACAGAGACCCCGAGTCACATAGAGAGCCGCAGCCTATCATAGAGAGCCATAGACTCACACAGAGACCCCGAGTCACGTAGGGAGCCGCAGCCTAGCATAGAGAGCCATAGACTCACACAGAGACCCCGAGTCACATAGAGAGCCGGAGCCTAGCATAGAGAGTCATAGACTCACACAGAAACCCCGAGTCACATAGAGAGCCGCAGCCTAGCACAGAGTGTCATAGACTCACACAGAGACCCCGAGTCACGTAGAGCGCCGCAGCCTAGCATAGAGAGCCATAGACTCACACAGAGACCCATACAATGGCCTCATCATCAGCGCTTTCTACAGCAGGCGGGCGCAGAAACAGCCCACGCTGTTCACTCGGGGAACCGGTGCGGTGAAGCCCAACACTCCTTGCGCAGCATCATAACCATCATCATCTCCACCCTCACGATATTCTCGAATATCACCATCGCACGCCGGCCGTCACATTCAAATCATCAATCAGGTCCCCTGCACTCGGCGTCACCCGAGACGGCAAACCCCGGGGTGGAGTTTGCAGCCTCCGCAACCGAAACCGGAGCCGGGAGCAGCTGCCCCGCCTGGCGGAGTTAATTGGCGAGAGAGGAGAGGCGGTGGTGGCGGGCGGGTGACCGTGATGAAGACGCACGGGCGGTTTACCTGAGCAGAGGCGACGTGCGGCGGTCATCGCCCTCCCCAGGCGCCCGCCCGCCCCCAGGGCCCTGACTGCTCATTGAAGCTGGGGAAGAAGTCGTTTTGTAATCCTGGAGAAAATGTTTATCTCTCTCTCTCTCGCGCGCGATTCACTCCCCAGCAGCCCACGCACAGCAGAGTGGTGGAGCTGTGTACCTTTGC